TTTTTTCTGGTCATTTGAGAATTTTAAAATGTTAAACTTTGGGTAAAATGCAGCACTTATCTCTGCCACTTTTCACCCAGCCGTCCAATCACAGTGGAGGAGGGGCGGGACAAACATCGCCAACTGTCTAATTAAACAATGACTGAATAACAATGGAGAAGAAGTAAATATTGCTGGTCTCCAACTACCCGTGTCTGTAATAGATGACATCTCTGGACTACAACAATATTAATATGAAAATACATGCTTGGAGCAACATTTTACAGGAACAACTGGGTAACCAAGCAATCGTCACTATCGGCAGACATACTATCAGCAGTGTATGTCGCACGGTAAGCAGCATTGGTGAGCATGTAGAGCAGGAGGTGTTCAGACGTCCTGAGCACAGTCTACCAACATCTGCATCCTCTTTGCCATCATGGGATGATCCTCAAAGCAGGGCATTCATTCCTTCTTCTAAAAGCTGCAAGCTGTTTTCAATTTCGCGAAAAAAATATTTTTTGCATCTAGCAAGAATTCCAAGATTTCATGCTTTGTTTTAAAAGCACCTCATTCAGTCGGCACTCGGCAGATCGTCTCTGGCACTGTATCGAGTGTGTTAACACATTGTTTTGGCGTGGTTTGGGCTGTGAAGTCCATGGCTCATTTGGCCTAATGACAAACCTGCAGTCCTTGTGCAGCTCAAGCCCCAGCAGGAGATCTAGATTTAATGTGTCAAGCTCGGCCAAAATGCTTCCAAAAACCCGATTCCACTGGCAGCTTTCGCTTTTACAATAAACACTTGCTAACTTATATAGCTGACATTAAAGTCTGGCGAGCTCTTGAATCTCTAAGCGTTCCTAAATTACATACGGGATTAGGGCACATAATATAAGCAGATCGAGGAATGTTACTCTAGCACATCTCTGTTTTCAGCCAAAGCTTTCAAGACCAGATGAGGTTCCTTCGAGCTGAACCAAATCTGGGCTAAATGTGATGATGTGTTGGCTAAAAGTGACCTGCAAAACCAAAATGAAATCGAACCCGTTTAGCAGCCTCAAATAACAAAAGGCCAAAAGCTGAAATAAGCCTTATAATTGGCAGTCTTGCGTTCTGGACACACCTGAGTGGACTAACTGAAGCAGCGTGACCGCACTGACTAACATCATTACTATCACGCTGTTCGAAGGCGAGCGCGACAGAAATGACCTTAATGTGTCGTGAGAACGGATAGACAGACTGGAAAAGAGCAACGCATGTGTTTAAAGCTCTGGCGGGATAGACTGTCCCAGTGACCTCTGACCCTGCGATAGCCTCAGGCTGACGAGCAGCTCATGACGACGGCCGTCCAGAGCTCAAGTTAATTGTGCATGTGATGAGAGCATTTGGACTTCAAAAGGCCCATGCATGGGGAATTGAGTTTTACTGCACTGAGCTCAAACACACACGGCATACAGTACACACAAGGCTTCTGCTTAAATGCTTGAACATCAGGTTTCTAGACAAATATGAGTTAAGTCTACATATATAGGCATATGTCTACAAAGTACAGAAAATGCTTCTCACATATGTTCACAAGCATCCCAGGATTCACCACATGAAGTCGGTTAATGAATGCCCAAAGTGAATCTACACTAAGAAGAATCTCAAATATAAAAGAATGCATTTATTTATTTTAGAGTTCTCACTTTACTGTTAATCTAACATGTGGAAAACAGTCAGCAGTAGATGTGTCCAAGTGTCTACTGTAACAAATCATAATGATTTTAATGGTAAAAGAATGTAAAAATACTACAGTAAAAAGCTGTTAATTGGTTAACAGTAGGTTTTTTCAGCTGCTTACACACATTTTCAAAACTTTGCCTCTTTTTCTCAAAACTTTATACACAAATCCAAGAATTGCACACACAAAATGCAAAATGCCTCACACCAAAATGAAGCACTGCATTCAAAATATCACAAACACATCTCAAAAGCAAACATTTGCAAACACCTTTGCCATAATATTAATTCCAGTTAGATTTGTGTGTGTCTGTCAAAGGCTGAGAATTAGTGTGTGGTTTTGCAGATTTGGTGTGTGCTTCTGCTGTTTGAGTGTCAGCTTTCAGAAACTGTGTGACGAGTAAAGATTTTGTGTGCAAGCAGTTGAAAAAAACTGTAATCAAGTTATTGTGTAGCTTCTTTAAGGAAAACATTTTGAAATGAAAATGTCCCAAACTGTATATTTTTCTGCAGAAAAAAAAAGAAGATATTTTGCAGAATGATGGTAAACAGTTTTGGTCACCATTTGGGTACCATTGACTTTCACTGTATGGACAATAAAACAGACATTTCTCAAAATATCTTCTTTGATGTTTCACGTACGAGAGAAACTCTAACGGTTTGGGGGAGTAAATGATGACAGATTGATCATGTTTGGGTGTACTGTCCCTTTAAGATTATTCTCATGCATGATGTCATTTACTCTCCTCTGTTTCTCTCAGGCTGGTCACGTCTCAGGCTGGTCATTTAAGATCAGGAGGAGTCTGACACTGCTCAACGTTTATTCTGATGAAAAGTGACTAATCTGAGGTGTGTCAGACTGTAGACTGCTGATTCCCAATGCAAACAGTGAGCCGTGTAATACCACCTGTGCTTTCATCGCGACAGCGGTGTAGTTTAAGCATTTGTGCTCATTTGCATTACAGCACTGGAAATAGAAGCAATGCAGTTTTCCACAACACTTTGAACTGAAACAGCAAGAGAGTCAGACGAGTGATTCTCAAGCCTGATCCAGACACACCTGATGCAGGGCATGAGTAGAAGTGTGTGTGAGATGAAGAAGAAACAGGAGCAGGCGTGAGAAACCCTGGTCTACTGAAGCTGCAGTGCATCACGTGAACCACTGACCACAAACACACACAACACTCATTTTCTTTTACGTTTGCATGTCTTACTATCAGCTATGATTATTCTACTCTGTTAATTAAAAGGCTCTTTATATGCATATCCGCTAATTGTTTACAAGAAGCACACATGTAAGAGGCTGACATTTAGCTGAACATATACTTGTTTAATTAGTAACTCTTAGCCTGCATTTTAAAATCTTTATTTGAATGTGGCAACATTTTTATTTTTAAATCTTTATTTGAATATGGCAACATAATATTGCGATCTAAAATATTTCTATGAATAAATCTCTGACAAAGACTATCAGCCAATCACTGTGTGCATAGCTAATAAGCATGCTGACATCATCCATAGCAACCCCGCCCCCTTACTCTGAGCTTAAGACTCCTTTCTATTCCTTAGCTAAGAGTTTTCTCTTAAAACCTATTCACAACGCTGCTGACACAAACTTTTACTGCTATTTGGGTGAACTCTTATCAAATGTTTTGTGAATACAGGCCCAGATATATAGCACACGTCTGACCTGCCATCTACAGATGCGCTGTCAGATAAAAAAATAAATAAAATAAAACATGCAAAAGAGTGGTAATCTGTAACCTACCCTTAAGTTACTATTATGCACCTTTACAGGTACAAAGAAGTCATTTTGATGCAAGCTGTGGACAAGATGTTGAACTTCTAATTGTACAATTTTTCATGAAAATCAATTTTTTCACATATTCCTCCAACAGTCAGAGCAGAACATTTAACATTTCTGTGGTTTTTAATAAAGATCCAGCAAATGATACCGTTTGACACCAGACTGCAGCTTTGGATGCATCACTGTTAGACCGAGCCTAATCTCAAAAACAGACGATCAGTAGAAATTTGACTTGGTTAACTTTAGTCTTTTCACATAAACCTGCCAATGCACCGTTTATTTGCAGGACTGCACTGATTTGCTTTGTTTTATTTTTAACTTTCATAATAAAATGCAATAATGACAAAGAACAAACCCACAATCAAATATGAGCGTTTGACCATTGTGAGCACAAAGGGAAATCATGCTTTCTGGATACAGCGTAGTGTTCAGACAGATACACTGAGAACTCATTCCAGTGGCTGTGAGAACCCAGGGACACTGGCAGGCCAATTGGTAAGCTTTCCCAAAGCACATTCATACGCAGAAGAGACTGTGAACTGAGAACGAGAGAGACTGTACGAGCCACAGGACTGACATCAGACTCCATCTGCTTACTGAATAATGCGGATGAAAGGAACAGGTTAGAGAACAGAAGAAAAGAGAGAAATCGTCTCTACAACGCAACATTTCCTCTAAATCCTTATGCTACATGTGAAGTGTGAATGAAACTCTGAGCACTTGATTTCAATGGATTAAATCTGTAAAAACGTATCCTTTCATCCTCAGAGCAGCTGTGAACTCTCCTCTGAGGCTGCAGCACACATCAGACGCTCTGTGTGCTTGTGTCTGCTTTTCTCTGCATTACTTCATTTCAGAGCTGCGACCTCCAGCGTGGACAGAACGTGCGGTGGGCGGGGCCTGCCTGGCGTGCCATTGGCTCGTACGCGTTTGATTGGCTGCCAATGACATCATAGCGGAGAGACGCCGTGAGGCGGGATGCTCGGCTGCTCCCGACGCAGTCTGAGCTCACTCGATCCTGGACTCTGGTGAAGAGTTAGAGGAAGATGATGGGATGACTCATCCCAAACTTTCATTTGATAAAGAAGAGGGGTGCAGTGCGGCTCTGCGTGTTTCCCGCGGATGCAGTGCGCTGTCCAGCTCCACACTTGCTGAAGAAACACACACACACACACACACACACACACTGAGGCTTTCGATCACGCCTGACTGACAGGTGCAGCACTCGAGTGACGTCATCGCGAACCCCTGCGCAATTGTGTCGAGGAAGAGTGGCATTGATCCGGACACGTCTGATTGCATTAGAGTAACGCTATTATGACTTTAATTAATGATACAAACAGACATTAGTACATTATGCAGTGCTCATTCGTGTACATCCAAATGCACGTTTTAAAATAAGTAGTTCTCTATATTAACATTTGGAGACGTTGTGAATTATATAAAAAAAAAATAATTACAATTAAATGCGTTTTAAATGTAGGGCACTTACCTTTTGTTTGTCCATGGTGTCTATACGTTGAAAGTAATCATTCTCATTATGAATAGTCCAATAATCCCGAAGGACAGTAATAATATTCCACAGTGAAAAATAATCATTAAATAAATCCTTCAAAGGGCGTCCGTTGAAAGCAGAAGTTATCCAGTACTCGCAGACCCGTGCATGCTGGCCTAGAACAGAAAACATGCGGGTTTAAGTGTAACAAATAAATCATTTAAGTATTGTTTGGCTTCATGCACAGTGAAAATGCTAACTATTAAAAAGCGTTTAATAAACATGTCTCACAGTCTCCAAATCTTTGCAGGCAGGACAGGCCCACTTGCCTTTTGAGACACAATAATTCGAGCTGAAAATTATTTGGGGATTAAACAATTAATCACAATTTAAAATAAAATACATTTTTGTATTTGTTGTACATTTTTAATTATTCACCTGTGCACATCGAATGCATTGGGTTGTAGAAGCGAAAGATGGAGAGAACTCTTAAATAAAATAAATCCACATTTCTATGAAAGATGTGATAACTTAGTTAAGAAAGTAAACTAACTTCGGGTCTCCAGAGGAACTGGGCAAAGGTCCGTATCAAGATTAGCGCGTATTTTAGGAGAACAAGGACGTCAAAATTGAAATAAAAAGTCAAACGATCGCTTCAGAAATACTATGAGCTGTTCTGCGTGGAAAGTTGTCTTTAGAGGTCCCATTTCTGGCGTAAAAGTTATGTTAAAAAATATGTATTTCAATAAGGAGTGATGGACCTCTTACCTCATATGGTGAATTATTGAATTTTTCTTTTTACTTTTCTTTTTTCTCTTTAGCAAACTTTTTAAACACTCAACACAGTTCACTGCAATATCAGGTGTCTGAGAAATCAAAGTTAAGCAGAGGAATTGTGTGGCGTGTCCTCACACTGTGTGTTCGGCAGCTGCAGAACAAAGAGACTGCATCGTGTCTTTCGAAGTTCTGCAACAAAGGACTGTTGTACCTGTTGCTCTTTCACACAATCTGAACATTATGCATCCACCTCACGCTCACAAATCAACGCAGATGGCACCAAAAAGCATTGCATTTAATAGTGAACGATTTAATTAGGACATTAAAAGCACAAGTATGCTGCATTAATCAGTACGTATTCATGCGCAGATAATTGGAGATATCAACCTCGCGATTAACTACTACATCATCCGGAAGATTAAACAGAGCAATGCCTAGAGCTTCTCCTGAAACAAACTCGTCTTTCGTTTCATATTAATTGCGAAATACTTTGCGTGCGCAATTTTCGGTCAACTTCCTTCGCCAATCAACTTTTGACAGCTTTGTCTTCCTGCGCCATCCTTAGTCCCACATGAGCCAAAAGTAGAAAATAACTCTCAAGCTTTTTAGTTTCTCCCAAATACATCCTCTCGTTTTTTCCATCCACACTTTCTTCAGATCTCATCTTCATCTATAGTTTGAGCATCTCGAGTCGCCGCTGAACAAAGGACCGCTCCTTTGCGAGCTGACGCACCAACTCTTGCAGAACTTTTCCAGATACACATACACAGACGAAACCGATCTGAGCGCGACACAAGCTTAACCTGAGCGCGTGCCGATCACTCACCTGGGCGCTTCGCGAGGTCCTGGAAAACTATATATATATTTGCAGTAAATCGATGTAAACCATTGCATTTCATGGAGCTGTAATAACTTGTATTGAGACGCCCCATGAGGACGCACTTAAACTTTAGGATAAATAATAGCCCTATTTCTTAGCTGTGGTAATTTCCAGATCAAAACAAAAGGTTAGGGGTTCTTTTACTAAATATATAGGCTACGTGTATCGGATAAGTTAGTTAGAACAAGTAGCCTAAATAAAACTTGTGTTTTGTTTAAACGCCTATGCTAGGGGCATCAACAAACATTTATTTGTTTCTTTGTTTGTTTGTTTTCCGTGATATTATATTCAAATCCGACCCCCTGAATGTCATTATCGTGTTCACTGGTCAGAATAGGCCTAAGCCTGAGTCCCAGTCATCTCAATGACAAAAGTGTCCCAATACACCTGAATTCACCCTAAGCATGACCAAGTTCTGACATTTTACATTTAAATGCGATGATGTACGTTAATGCAATGAAATGTATTTAACTACGTTTAATGCATAATGTCAACCAACACGTTTTGCTGCACTGTTTGAGTGTCCTGATATATGTTAGGAAAATACGGTAATTTTAAATACAGTTCATTCAAATGTAATCTAATATATTATCAAATAATTATAAAATTAAGCTGCAGTGATAAGATCACAAATAGTGTACTGAAGTCAACAGCTAGAGCTCTGGTTTAATGTCATTTTCAAATCATTAATGCAAAGAAACCCCCAAAAATATAGTTAGTTGAGCATGTGATAAGCAGAGCTGGTAGTAACTGATCACACATCATCTGGATTACGTAATCAGACTCCAAAAAGCAAGAACTTGTAATTAGAGTAAATTACATTTTCAAATACTCACAAATCAGACTACAGTTAGTTTTTTATTGGTTACATATTAGTCACACAATTGCAATAAATTATTCATAATTCCTCATTTTCATCTTTTAAATTTCCCTTTCTAAAATAGCCTACCAGTTATATACACTCAGAAGATCCAGTTTTGTGGTCATTCACACAGAGACTAGCCATTAGTCAGGTGACCACTGATTTACATAAATGAGATTTTAAAATAAATATTGTAATAATTATGCATCACATTTGCATGTTGACATTGGTTAATGGTCACATGACATGCAGGTAAACATAAAATATTTAATCTTTTTTAGTGTTTTATTTTGATTCTTATTTTAAAATGATTTGTTTTCATTTTACATTTTTATGATTCAATTAATTGCTAGCTTTTCATTAAACTCACAAACCCCCTGCAGTTCCTTTACGAACCCCAGTTTGGGAAACATTGAGGTGATATTATGTTTAATGCACTTCATGTAGTTACAATGCCGAATGGAAAATATGTTCTTACTCTTTGCATTTTTATATCAGTATGGTACAAGATTATCCTATTTAAATCAATGTGATAAACGAGTTGTCAAAAGTAATAAAAAAAAAGTAGCCTATTATATTATCTAAAATATGTAATGTAATGAATTATGTTACTGACTACAATTTTTTTTCCTGTAATTAGGAGTCAGTAACGAATTACCCAGCTCTGGTGATAAAGCACGCCTGCGTGAGCCTGTGTGAGGAACTGAATTCATTCATCCACTCAACATCACTGACAGCAGATCATGCTTGAAATGAGTTTGAGTCGCATGTGTGTTCCAGAGTTTCAAGAGGAAGGCGTGCAGTTTCTGAGCAAAGTCCGACTAAATATAACACAATAAAGTTATTATGACTTAGAGAAGAGTTTTTAGTAAAGCATTTAATTCACATGTGGTTAACAGGAAAATCCAGATAGCTTAACACTGAGAAACTAGTAAGCTTAACTGATAATGTGTATTTAATGATAATATAGGAATTTGCAAACGACAATTGTTGAGTTCATTATGCAAAATATAAAAAGTGTAAGGTGTGTTCGGCAGCTGCAGAACAAAGAGACTGCATCGTGTCTTTCGAAGTTCTGCAACAAAGGACTGTTGTACCTGTTGCTCTTTCACACAATCTGAACATTATGCATCCACCTCACGCTCACAAATCATCGTAAATGGCACCAAAAAGCATTGCATCTAATACTAAACGATTTAATAAGAAGGCATTAAAAGCACAAGTATGCTGAATTAATCAGTATGTATTCATGCGCAGATAATTGGAGATATCAACCTCGCGATTAACTACTACATCATCCGGAAGATTAAACAGAGCAATGCCTAGAGCTTCTCCTGAAACAAACTCGTCTTTCGTTTCATATTAATTGCGAAATACTTTGCGTGCGCAATTTTCGGTCAACTTCCTTCGCCAATCAACTTTTGACAGCTTTGTCTTCCTGCGCCATCCTTAGTCCCACATGAGCCAAAAGTGGAAAATAACTCTCAAGCTTTTTAGTTTCTCCCAAATACATCCTCTCGTTTTTTCCATCCACACTTTCTTCAGATCTCATCTTCATCTATAGTTTGAGCATCTCGAGTCGCCGCTGAACAAAGGACCGCTCCTTTGCGAGCTGACGCACCAACTCTTGCAGAACTTTTCCAGATACACATCCACAGACGAAACCGATCTGAGCGCGACACAAGCTTAACCTGAGCGTGTGCCGATCACTCACCTGGGCGCTTCGCGAGGTCCTGGAAAACTTTCCCTGCATGTTTGGGTTGTGTTGATGGTCTCTTTGTCTACACGTGTGAAGGGGTTCTTGGCCGCGCCTTGTTCCTTTCAGTTCGAGTCCCGCCCTCTACATACAACTAAATATCAACACAGAGAGCAACTCACTGGAGCGCTCGCGCGTTGTAAATGTAATGTATTTTACAAACACGGAGACACCGCGAAGAGCGTTTGTTTCTTTTACAAGTCAGTCGTGTTCTCCAAGGGTTTGTGCCACTGAAGGTTTCTCTGTGCACAAGGACGTGTCTGCTTTGCTGATATTTTACCCAAAAAACTGAATGGATTATGACTTTTT